GCCTGCCTCAAGTCTCTCCCCACTCCAATCCATTGTCTACTCAACTACTAAAATAACTTTCCTAAAGCACAGGTCCAATCATGTCACCGTCCTTCCTGAACTTGCCCACCCCCCCCAATAACAAACAAACAAACAAAAAAACTCCAGTGGCTCCCTATTATGTCTAGCATCAAATACAAAACCATAAGCTTAGCATTCTTTCATGGGAGAACCCCCTCTCTGAGGTCATGGATGGTTAACTTGCTGCCAAATATGTATTTATCACAACAAATTATTTAAATTTACCACAAATTGTGGAAGTAAAAACATAGGTTTTATTATTATTTATTACTTTATTATTATATGCACGCAAAGGTTCAGGCCTCAGAGAAAACCTGATCTTATGATTCTAATAAGGTTTCTTATAGGCATATATTTCTGTCACTGACAGAAATAATTCATTTACATATTGCAATCTTGTATATTCCTCCTAGGCCATAAAAGTTAAAGAAAAGAGAGATCCATAATCCATACTTTAATAAAAGCTGAACCAATTTTAACAGTCATAATTTCCTACATCCCCCTAAGGAAACAACCCTAGTCAAAAAAACTCTTTAGATAAACTAAGTCAAGTTACAGATTAAAACAGAAAAAAGGCTAGTGGAGGAGGAGGTTTTATGTACCGCCAAAGAGCCAGAGGCTTTTAAGATTCTTCCTCTGGCTTATCTAAGGAACATTTAAGTCTCTAAATTTTCATGTCCCATGGGAAAAGTTTTGGTTAGGAGGATGGCCCCGGGGTCTCAAATAATCAAAAAAGAAATAAAAAATTACCATAATAATTCAAGGCCCTTCATAACCTAGCCCTCTCCTATCTTTCAATCTTCTTACACCTTACTGCCTTTACAAGTACACTTCAAGAGCCTCCTTGCTAGAAATTTTCTGACTGTCCTCCATGCCTAAAATGCTCAATCCTCATCTTCACCTACTGCTTTCCTTGGCTTCCTTTAAGTCCCAACTAAAATCTCCATTTTTTAATAGGAAGCCTTTCCCAACTCCTCATAATTCTAGTGCCTTCCCTTTATTAACTATTTCCTATTTATTCTGTATATAACCTATTTGTATATATTCTTTGTTGATAATTATTTCCTATTTATTCTGTATATAATCTATTTGTACATATTCTTTGTTGACTCTCAACAGATGGTGAGATCCTTTTGTATTCTAACAACACTTTTTGGTTGTTTAATTGGTTTTCTCTCCAATTAAACTTGTCAGCTCTTTCAGAGTGGTGAGGCTTCTTTACTCTTTCCTACAGTACCTAGGCACAGTGCTATGCATGCAACAGGTACTCAATAAGTATTTTTCGTTGATTTCCTCTACTAGATTATAAGCTATTGGATGGCATGGAGTTAATCTTAAATACCTCTGAAAATTCTAAACTGCCTTGCACATAGCAAATCTTCAATATTGAGTTTGTCTACAATCCCCTCAGTGCATGTCAAAAGTTTACTTAGAATATGTTAACCTCATCTCACCTGAGCTCTAGTCTTAAATCATCAAGAGGATGTGTAAAGCATCTCAAACTCAAACAAAACTGTTCCCAGAAATGGATCGCTCTTCTCAACTTCCTTCCCTATTACTATCCAGGGCATCACCATTCTCCCAAGCACATCTCATTCCCTCCACACTTTCGAGAGCTTGTCATTTCTATCTTCACAGAATCTCTTTAATAGGTGCCCTACTCTCAACTCAAGTAGCCACCATCCTAGTACAGGCCAGCTTCCCAGCTGGACCAGAAAAAAGCCTTCTGATGAGTCAGTCTCCCTGTCTCAAGTCTATTCCCAATTCAATCCCTAACCTCCCTCATTAAGCTGCCCAAAATGATTGGTGTAAAGCTGAAGGTTCATTTTCATAAATTCCTCTTCACAAACTGGCCTCTTCCTTCCTTTCCAGTCTTCTTATATCTTACTCTCCACTCCACGAATTATATAATCCATTTACATTGATTTTCCCAGACATGCCATCTCCCTGCCTTTACACTGACTATGCCTGAAATGAGCAACAAGGTGGCACAGTGGACAGACTGACAAGGCCTGGAGTAAGGAAGACTCATCTTCTTGAGTTCAAATCTGGCTTCAGACACTTACTAGCTGTGTGAACCTGGGCAAGTCACCTAACCCTGTTTGCCTCAGTTTCCTCATTTGTAAAATGAACTGGAGAAGAAAATGGCAAACCACTACAGTATTTCTGCCAAAAAAACCCCAAATGGGGTCAACTAAGAGTTGGACATAACTGAACAGCAACAGCAACAATCAGGAGTAGGGAGAGCTGTTTCCGAAGATACAAAAATTCTAACATGCCTGAAATGCTCTTCTTCCTTGACTCCTCTGCTTTAGGGTTTCCTAATTTCTTCAAAGCTCAAATCCCACTTTATACAAGAAGCCTTTCCCAGTCCACATCCCCCACCCCAGCTGCCATTCTCCCTAATATTACAGACCGTCTTCTATGTACCTAGTTATATACACATTATCTTCCCCATCAGAAGGTAAATTTCTTGAAGGCTGGGGCTGTTTTTACTAAAAAGTAAAGTACCTGGCAAACAGTATGCCCTGACTAAATGTTTGTTCATCCATTTATTCTCATATTAGTACCTTTGTTGCTATAAATCAACACAATTTATGATTGAGAATGATCAACTTTTACACTTTTTTTTTAAAGCTTCCAAGATGACAATCTTTAATAAAAAATATTGCAATCTAAAAACTAAAATTTCTAAATAGAGGGAACTAGGGGCACAGTGGATAGACAGCACTGGACTTGAGTCAAAAAGAACCAGATCAAATCATGCCTCAGATGCTGATTAAGCTTCACGATCTTGGGCAAGTCAGTTAACTTCTACCTGCCTAAGTTTCCATATCTGTTAAATGGGGGCAATAATAGCACCTACTGCCCAGGGTTGTTGGGAGGATAGAATGAGATCAAACCTTAAAGCACTATATAAATGCTAGCTAGTATTATTTTATTCCTGTAGCAAATTTTTGAAAGTCCAAGTTTATGTTAAAGTTCGTAAGATCAGAGACTTAGACCTAGAAGGAACCTTAGGGTCATCTCATTTTACAGATAAGGAACTTGAAGCCCAAAGAGACACTTTGGAAGTGGCAGGATGGGGATTCTAATAAGGACCCTGACTTCAAATCCAGCTCTTTATGCAAAGCTTGCATGTTAGGACATGGAGTGGGGATTCAGGAACAAAGGTTTTGTGTTTCTTACCCTTTTAGAAGATCAGATTCAAAAGTTCAAAATGCTGTCATGCATTCTGACCTCGTTTCTTAGCAAAGCCCTTCAATATTTTTTTCCTTACAACTAAGAAAAGTAGTACATAGCTTTCTCCACACTACATTTTTAAAAATACTGCTTAAACATACATAGTTGGAGGGCCAAACACAACGAATTCTATCGTAGATTTTAAAATATAGATTGGTTAAAATTACTGAAAAAGGAGTCTTCAAGTCAATACCCCAAATACTAAGTTTCAAACATCTCTAAAATACAAAATACATAATCCTGTTTTCCCCTAATAATTAGTTTAATAAAAATCAACCAAGAATTGAGTATCTGCTTTGCTCAAGATCTTTATTATAAGAAAACCTAGCCTAATCCATTATACACAAAAGCCCCCTCCAAAAAATCCATTTAAATAATCAGTTTATACAGAAAAGGAATGGTATAAAGAGAACTTGCTCATACGTGTTTATTCCATTGCAACATGGGGCAGGGGGGGATCTGTAATCCTTAGGCAAAGGTTCATTTATTGGATTGGTGCATCAACAAAAATGATTCTTGTCATTTCCTGATCATTTAACAATTTCAAGTTTAAAATAATTTACATTTTTAAAAACTTTCTAAATCTCAATATTAATCAGTCTTCTGTACCTACTTATGAAAACAATGTGAAGGTTAGCTACAGGTGAAAACCTAGAAAAGAGGAAATAGGAGCAGCACTTATTGACAGTCAGCCACTTTTTCATGTGAAATCAGTGCACACGGTAGACGGTCAAGTTGAAGAAAACATTCCCACTCGCAGCTTATCAAGAAGCAGCATGACAATCAAGTGCAGGCACATTGCTCCTCTGACACCTGGGCCTACCCGACTTCGTATGATATAACTGCACTTGTAAGGGTCATGAAGAGAAATAACACGGATTACGAAATTGTAAACTGCAAACATTGCATAGGCACCCAAAAAAAAAAGTGGAAGAAAGAAGATTCCTCACCCTTAAAAGACTGTCATTTCTCATATTTAATAGTTTGCATCTAACAGACAAGTTGTGAAAACACCTAATACCCAGTCCAACCTCCCCCCACCCCTCAAAAAAAAAGTACTAGAGGAGGCAGGTGGAAATGTGCAGAGAGGCTGAGTCATTCCTAGAAGTAACTTTATACCGACCCTCTCACTCCAAAGGGACAAAGGCACGGCTGTCTCTCCCAACAGCCCAACCGAGGCTACAGCAGCCCGGACCCACCAACTTAGCATTTCCTACAGGATGACACCACCATTCCCTCCGTTCCCCGCCCAGAGAGAAAGGCAGGGAGGTCTTTCTACCAGGGAGGGTCTCCCCTGCCATCGCTTCCTTTTCCCCGCAACTTTGTCGGCCTCCTCCCGAGCGGCAGAGTTGGGGGGTGGGGGGTCCCCAGCCCAAGTGTCAGCTCTGACCCGCACGGCATCAGACAACCCCAGCTCCTCCCGAAATTCACGACTTGTCCGCTTTTGTCTCCGGGCGGCCAGCGCCCGGTCCGGGTGCCCGAGCCCACCGGCAGATGAGGACCCGGCAGCACCCCCGCCCCTCGCCCCAGAGATCCTGGCCCCCTGGGGGGCTCCACGGCGAGGACCCCGAGGCCCCACCGCGCCCCCTCCCCCAGCTCCGGGCGGGCTCCGCTTCAGGGCGAGCAGCCCCGGCGGCGGTGTCAGCAGCTGCCCCGCTGAGGGGGGAAGGCGGTCGGCGGCAGAGGTGCCCTCTTACCCGGCGGCAGCGCCTCCTCCTCCGCGGGCAGCCCCGGCAGCCCCCGGAACCATCTTCCGCCGCCGCCTAGTCCTTCGGCGGCGGCTCCAAACCGCCCATTCGGCGCTGCTAACCGACACGAGCGGCCGCGGCTCCCCTCCCGGCCCCCCGGGCTCCGGGCAGGGAGGGGTTCAGGCCACTGAAGACAGCCCGCGGTGCGCTGCCAGGCCCCCCGGCTCCTCGTCGGGAACGAGCGCGACGGAGAGACAGCACAGTCGAGGTTCCTCCGAGCCGCGCGGCTGAGGCGGCTTCTTGGGTCGGGGGCAGCGCAGGGCCCTGGTCGCCGCCACAGCCGGGGTTCGGTTTGTTATTGTCGAGTCTGTCTCTTCCGCCGCGGTGCAAGCTGGGAAAGGGCTGATCGGGCTAAGAAGGGGGAGGGGGAGTTGTGAGTAACACCATAGAGACGGGCATCGGAAACCCAGACAGGTTAGGTGTCACCGCGCATGGACGGAAGTCAACGGAGCTGACGCAAACCGGGTGACTCCGCCTCCCAACGCCCGTACTTCCTCGGGCCGCGACTGGTTTCCCCTCAGCCCCCACCTCCTGGGCGCTGCCATTCTTGGGACTCGCGGCTGGTGCCGGAGCCACGCCTATGGCGGGGTCGTTCTTCTACCAGGTGCATTTGACCTTCACGGTGGGGACGGTCGTCTGGGCCTGTTCCCTCGGGCTTTGGGATCAGCCCTAGGTGAGGGAGAGATCCCCACTCGTGGATCTCCGCTACTCCGCCGGCTCCCGGGCGCGCGGCCTCCCTCCCCGCCGGCAGCCCCCTTCCCTGAGCTCCAGCGCCTGGGACTGAGACTTCTAAAGCTGGGAAGCCTCTAGTCCTAGGCACCTTGGGGAGAGGAAGGCCCCGGGCCTGAGGAGCCAAGGGGAAGGGGAAACCGCTACTGAGATGTGTGTGGAGCAGTCCTTGAAGTTAGGAGACCAGTTCTTACCTAAAAAGCGTTGTGTGTGTGCGTGTGTGTGTGTGTTATTATTCATTTCCTTGCACACATTTAAGCTTGAAGAATTAATAATTATTGAATAAATATAACCTTATCCATTTGGCATTATAGGGATGTTCTATTTCACCAAAGGAGATGAATTTATTTTTCGAAGTCGTCCGTAGACAAATTAATTTCTGATTTATTAAATGTTATTAAATGCTAGGCTAAGCACTAAACGAAGACTTTTTGAAATAGGGTAGCCTCATCTAAGTATCACCTGTCTTTATGGTGATCTCCAGCTGGAGATGTACACTTGGCGGGCACTGATCTCATGTAGGTATGGCCTGTCTTTTTTTTTTTTTTGCTTGGCTAGGCAATGGGGTTAAGTGACTTGACCAGGGTGACACAGTGTCTGAGGCTGGATTTGAACTCAACTCCTCCTGACTCCAGGGCCAGTGCTCTTACCACTGCACAACCTAGCTGCCCCAGTATGGCTTGTCTTAAAGGTGATCTCCAAGTGGAGATGTTCACTTGGCTACAAGGAGAGCAGCTTTTGGAGAACCCAGTCAAGTTTGGTGTAGAAGTATTGGTGTAGTGGAAAAAACAGCCAGATTTAGAATCAGATGAACTAGGTTGCAATCCAGGTTTTTTCTATTTAGTACCAGTGTGTCTTGGATAAGTCCCTTAACTTGTCCAGCCTTCAACTCTCTCAACTGTGAAGGTGGGAGGGTTGTACTACAGAATTAAGGTATCTTCTAGCTCTTAAGTTTGTGTTTCTGTGACCCAGCAGCCTTTATATTTAATTACAGGGCATATAGGTTTGATAAGTGTAGAAAATAGGGATCATCTTCCAGAAAATTTGTAGCTAATAAGCATTTATTGTTAACCAGTATTGGTAGGGGAAAAGGGACATATTTTAGGCTTTCCACAAGCTACCTTGTATCTTATTTTCACTGGAGTGTTAGGATTGTCCAAGTTGGAGTTCAGAACTTTGGGTCTGCAAGCTTTTAAAGCAAGATTTTTTTAGCTATGACTGTCTTTTTGACTTTGGGTAGTTTTTTTTAACTATTCTAATAATGATTTTCTCGGGGCTAGTACAAGTACATGAGCTGCTATTAATTGGTAAATTGATAGATAATAACCTGGTCTCCAACCCTTGTGTCTCAACCTCTTGAAGGCTCACTAAAAATAACAGAAAATGATTAAAAGCAATTATATATAAAACCTTCATACTTAGTTCTCATTATGTGTGAATTACTAAAAATAGCTGGTCTCAAGTCAAGAGTAGACTTGTACTTTCTCAAAGGACATAATCAAAGATCCTGGATAGGGATGTGCCTCATCAAAAGTTGATGTTTTTCTCTTTTAATTACATCGCTAATGCTACCACAGACATCAGGAAAATGTTGTAAATTATTCCAGTGTATGAAATACGCAAAGGAGAAGGCAGGCTCAAGAAGAGGCAAGTGAGGAGTTGAAGAATTTATACCAGTATCTTAAAAAGGCATTGGATGAAAGGTCAATAATGAACAATTTTTATGTTTAATTGGATAGAAATAAGTGAGTACCTGATCAAATTCAAAAAAGGGGAAAGTCAGTGAATGAAGATTTTTGTCTGTATTTGTCATCAATAATCATCTTCCAATCTCTCATAAATGAGATAATCAAAATGATTAAGCTGGGTAAATCAGTGAAGCTACAAAACAAATGATAATAGCTAGTATTGGCTAGCAAGATATACATATTTATGAGCGTATATGTATCTATGTATACATATGTAAATGTATGTATATATATATAGATAAAATCTTTTGTTTTGCATTTATTATCTAGGTTGATTCTCAAAAGAGCCTTGTGAAGTAGGTGCTGTTATTCCATTTTTACAAGCAGGTTAAGTGATTTGCCCAGGGGCACCCAGGTAAGTAAATGTCAAGCAGGATTTGAGCTCAGGTCTTCCTAACTTGAGATCTAGCACTCTAGCCACCAAAGCCCCCAGATGTCATATGCCTACAAAGATGTCAAGAAGAGCACAGTTGGAAGCAGAAGAAAAGATAGAAAGGAAAGATTACAAAAGACTGTATCAGGAAATGAAGGTTAGGATTAAAAAGAAAGCTTTCACTCAGTATCTGAAGAAAATAGAGATTTTTGTTAGAAATAGGTGGCAGACCACTCAGATCAAGTCTTCTTGTTTGCATAGAGATGGAAATGGTAAGCAGAAGATCACTAGTACTTTGAAGTAACACCTTTTCAGTAAAAATGCCCCATGTACCATGTAGTGTCCTGCACTGCGAGCGCTCTCAAGCACACACACACCAGTAAGAGGCAGGTGGTGTCCTTTAACAGGTAGAATATTGGACTTGTCAGGAAGATTTGTGTTCACATCTTGCCTTTCATACTTGATATGCTCATGGTCTTCTAAGTTTCAGTTTACACACCTATAAAATAGGTATTATAATACCTCCCTCCCAGAATTATTGTGAGGCTCAAATAACGTGTGTAAAGTGCAAACCTTAAAGTGTTATATGTGGCAGTGATTATGACGCAAAGTTAACCAGCCCACTTGAAGGAACAGTTTTTCCTGAGACTTACTTGTAACAGTATTATACTTCCAAATAAAAACAAAACAATCAAAACTGAATGCTGAGAAAGTATCATAAATGAGCTTAGCCCCAAAGAAGAGATAAAAATGCACCTTCCTTCTTTGCAAAGGTAGGAGAGCCTAGATATGGAACATAGTCTATAATGTCAAACTTCATGTTTCTTAATTTTGCTGTTTTTTTCTCTTTTACTTTTTGTAATAAGAGATGGCTCTTTTGGGGGAGAATGGGGAAGGCATACTGGGACGTGGCGCACTTTATATATTGTGAAATGTGTTGTACTTTCAAGGGCTATGATCCATCCAGAAGCCTTCCACAAGTGCCCAGTAACTATGATGAAACATCTTTGACTTCGGTATTCACACCTAGATCAAGCTGAATTATCATCTATGTGATCAGTCTTCAAACTAACAATGGAAAGCCAGTGAACATTTACTAATACTCCACCACTGTGTGTCATTATATGGTTCAGTTCAGTAACTATTAAGCACCTACTGTGTGAAGAGTACTATTGCAGTTTTTAGAGAAAAGAGAAAGGGGCTGCTAGATGATGCAGTGGATAGAACACTGTTCCTGAAGTCAGGAGGACCTGAGTTCAAATCCAGCCTCAGACACATAACACTTAACTAGCTGTGTGACTCTGGGCAAGTCACTTAACCCCAATTGCCTCACCCCCGCCCCCCAAAAAAGAGAAAGTTTAGTTATAATTTTAACATAATGTCTAATATAGATTATTATACAGTAGTGAAATCTAATACTTAATATTGAGTGATAAAATCAATTTTCACGTTAACCAAATCATTATAATAATTGTGCCGGTTTTGTCCTTTCAAACCCAGAGCAAGGATACCATGTTAAAAAACAATCCATAATTGCACAATTGCAGGGTGTGAACTTTCCTTCGACATATGTGTTCAGTCGTAGAATCTTTACTCCAAGTTTTCTTACTGGTCCCATTATAATCCTTAAACAGTATAAGTCATATAAATATATGTCTTTAAAGAATCAATAAAAATTCCTTATATTTTACTAGGAAAGAAAAGATATATTGTGACTACTTTAATGTTCACAGCTATTCTAAGTTGTTAAATGTAGTCTTGTCATTTAGAGGTTGCTATGTGGCATTAATGAAATCACTAAACTAATAGTTTCAGAGCTTCCAACTACCATACTTTGTTGGTATAATATATGCCATGTATAGCTATAATTAATGATAACAACCTACAAATGACTATTTTCAAAGCTCATTAAAAGTATTAAAGAATCTGTTGAACTAAGAAGCAACACTTGTTTCCAGAGTCATACTATCAAAAAGAAAATTGTTTGGTTGACTAATCTCCCAAAAGATTTAACTAGTAAACTAAGATGCCATGTGTCATTTTTTGGTGTTCTCACTTTTTCATTGGAAGAAGTAAAAAGAAGACATACTATTATTCCTTATTTTTTGCAATCTGTTAATTTCATACATACAACCTTTTAATAAGATATATTCTCAGAAAGTAATTCTTTGTAACA